GTAAAAGTGGAAAGTATCCATTATTAAATCTACTTAAGTAAAGTACAGATACACGGAAATTGTACTTAAGTACAGTAACGAAGTACTTGTACTTCGTTACTTTCCACCACTGACTTTAATTCAGTGTTTTTCAACCACTGTGCCTTGGTACACTAGTGTGCCGTGAGTGATGGTCAGGTATGCCGTAGAAAATCATCATATTTCACCAAATTGGTCTAAAAAGATTTTTTGATAAGGAATTAATTATCTGCAAATAATTTTTGGGTGTCTGTGCTGTACAAGTGACTGGTGGAGTAATCACGTAATAATTCCTTATGACTAGATTTTGTATATAATTTTGCATATTGAAGTGGACATGTTAATTGCAATTTGAAAGAAGAAATATAAAATATGATAAAAATACACTTTTGTGTTTATTTGATTCCTATTCAAGACACTTAAGATAAGATAAGAATAACTATAGTGTTACTATAAGCGGCTACAGATTTGTTTGACATTTTTGGTTAGTGGTGTGCCTCGTGATTTTTTTCAATGAAAAAATGTACCTTGGGTCAAAAAGGTTGAAAAACACTGCTTTAAGTCATGTTGTTTGCCTTGTAGCTCAGGTGTGTTAGTACAGTTTTACAGTAACCTGTAAAATTCTCCCACAATTTTAGGTTTTTCACTCGACCTGTGACAATCGATTCATTAAAATGATGGTTTATAGCTTTTATAAGACAATAGATAGACAGGATTGTTTGCAAATTGTCGTTGTCTGTACACTTAACCCTTTAAAGCCTGATCCAAGAATAAAACAAAACATAAAATTACTTTTTTTTTTGTTTTAAGTCTTTATTTGGGCTTTTAACAAAATATGTAAAAAGAAAAAACAAAAATGATTTTTTTATAATAATAATTTAATACTATGCGATAAGTCAAGATTATTTTTTGTGTAGTCTACTGCCCCCTGTTATCAGGTGTATCTGATTGTGTACAATAGGATTTTGAGCAAAGTTTTTACGATTAAATTATGCAAAAGGTGTCAGACGCAAAACATTTTAGAAACCGTATGTATCAAATATGATACATTTGCCATTACAGGGTTAAATGTATTTGTTTTTCTCATTTGTGTAAGTTAAAACTCATTTTATGGCAGTCATTGATCTTTGTGGTAAAGTATGCCACGCAATCTAGCCATATTAAATCAAACTTTATTCATAGAGCACTCCCACTTCTCATACAGAGCCAGAACAAAGAGCCTCTTATAATAAATTCACTCTGACCTCTTCTTCCTGTCTCTTTAACTAGAGAAATCTCTCTAAAATAAAACTGGACACGAAAAATCTGGACACGCTACGGTCTGCGGCCACTGGATCCACTTGTGGGAACTCAAATAGAATTAGAATCTCTTTGAGGTAAAAAAAAACTAAACATAAAAATAATATAAAAAAATACAGATTCTCATAAAGTAATGACCAAAAAACACTGTAAGAACACCAGAAAAAAAGTAACAACCTAAATGTTTTAATAAAAAAAAACACCGGCTATTTCAACAAAGACTGATAATAATAATAACAATAATAATAATAATAATAATAATAATGATAATAATTTTATTTAACGTTTTGCAGCTGCTATCAGACAAGATGTCTAAATTCAACCATAAACCATTTAACCCAAGACTAGTGATCACAAAATCAGCCTTTTTCTGGAAAACTGGGCTCTGCAAATGTGATATAAAGGTCGGAAGGACAGACACAATACTTGAGTTTATGTACTTCCAAATAATTTATACAACCTGGCTGCAGTTAAATCAGTTTAGTTTTGTCTATTTAAATATCCCCATTGCAGGGCTACAGCCTCCCAGGAAGAGGGTTCCTGGTTCTAATCCCTTGGCGACCGGGGTCATTTCTTGTGTTTATATGTTCTCCACGTGTGTGTGTGGAGACTCCCACAGTCCAAAAACATGCATTTAAGATTCAATGAAAACTAAATTGAGTGTAGGAGTGAATCTGACTGTGTTTGGTTGTCCAGTCTGTGTAGACCTGTGACGGACTGGTGACCTGCCCAACCCCCCTCCCTGGTGACCCCAATGGGGAGTAAGGAGTATTGTAAATGGATGGATGAGAGCGAAATGCATCAAAAGACTGTCAATACTCTCTCAAAACATGTATAACATACACTTGACATTCTTTTGTCTGGACTGTTAGTCACATTCAAGTTCATTGTGACTTAATTTTAGTGCAACTTTATCGTGTACTTAAGAGAATTGAATTTTAGCCATTATACTTAGGAAGAAAAACAAGTAGAGGGGTCATCACTAAGTACCATTGGTCAACAAAGGTAAAGGTAAAAGTCTTCCAGGATAGACGATTGTTTGACATCTTTTTCTTTTTTTTGTTAAGAAATGATACAGTGGTCTGCAAAAGTTTGGGCAACCTTGTTAATTTCCATGATTTTCCTTCATAAATCGTTGGTTCTTAGGATAAAAAAAATCAGTTAAATATATAATATAGGAGAAAAACACAGTGATATTTGAGAAGTGAAACAAAGTTTATACCATTTACAGGAAGTGTGCAATAATTGTTTAAACAAAATTAGGCATGTGCATAAATTTGGGCACCACAATAAAAAAAATAACTCAATATTTAGTAGATCCCCCTTTTGCAGAAATAACAGCTTCTAAACGCTTCCTATAGCTTCCTATGAGAGTCTGGATTCTGGTTGGAAGTATTTTGGACCATTCCTCTTTACAAAACACCTCTAATTCATTCAGGTTTGATGGTTTCAGAGCATGGACAGCTCTCTTTAAGTCACACCACAGATTTTCAATAATATTCAGGTCTGGGGACTGAGATGGCCATTCCAGAACGTTGTACTTGTTCCTCTGCATGAATGCCTTAGTAGATTTTGAGCAGTGTTTAGGGTCATTGTCCTGTTGAAAGATCCAGCCCCGGCGCAGCTTCAGCCTTGTCACTGATTCCTGGACATTGGTGGAATCCATGCGTCCCTCAACTTTATCAAGATTCCCAGTCCCTGCACTGGCCACACAGGCCCACAGCAGGATGGAACCACCACCAAATTTTACTGTAGGCAACAGGAGTTTTTCTAGGAATGCTGTGTTGTTTTTCCTCCATGCATGGCGCCCCTTGTTATGTCCAAATAACTCAATTTTAGTTTCATCAGTCCACAGCACCTTATTCCAACTTGTCCAAATGTGCTTTAGCATACCTCAAGCGGCTTTGTTTGTGATGTGGGCGGAGAAAAGGCTTCTCCAGCATCAGCATCTCCTTGTGTAAAGTGCGCGCAATAGTTGTATGATGCACAATGACTCCATCTGCAGCAAGATCATGTTGTATGTCTTTGGTGCTGGCCTGTTGGTTGACTTTGACTGTTCTAACCATTCTTCGCTTCTGTTTATCCGTGATTTTCCTTGGTCTGTCACTTGGAGCCTTAACTTGAACTGTGCCTGTGGTCTTCCATTTCCTGACTATGTTCCTAACTGTCGAAACAGACAACTGATATCCCTTAGACAGCTTTCGGTATCCTTCCCCTAATTCATGATGGTGAACAAACGTTGTTTTCAGGTCATGTGACAGTTCTTTTGAGACTCCCATGTCGCTACTCTTCAGAGAAGATTCACAGAGTAGGGAAACTTACAATTGCCCCCCCTTAAATACTCTCTCATAATTGGGTTTTGCCTTGTGTATGTAGGTCAAGGGTCACTGAGCCTCCCAAACCAAATTTGAGTTCCAATAAATGGTTCTAAAGATTTTGAAATCAGTAAAATGACAATAGTGCCCAAATTTATGCACATGCTTAATTTTGTTAAAACAATTATTGCACACTTCCTGTAAATGGTATAAACTTCGTTTCACTTCTCAAATAACACTGTGTTTGTCTCCTATACGATATATTTAACTGATTTTTTTTATCCTAAGAACCAATGATTTATGAAGGAAAATCATTGAAATTGACAAGGTTGCCCAAACTTTTGCAGACCACTGTAAAGTGAGCACTGAATGGGAGGTTTTGCATGGTGGTTGTACAAAGAGCTTTTACCCACACAACATAAGTTTAACTATCAAACCTCAAAACTTCACATGAGAAGCTGGAAGCAGCTGTCTTTGTTCTGAATATTTAGCTTCAGTGTAGCAGTATCACTGTGCGCCTTTCTTAATTTCATCCCAGCATTCCTGGTTCATCCACCCCCACACTGTGTGCTCAGGGAGGATGAGCATGGTGACGCTTTTTCTAACTCGCTTGCGGTCATTACTAGAGAATGCACTGACCAAGTGGGCAGCCAACTCGGGTGGGAGTCACTTGGGTGGGAGACAAAGGAATGCACCATCCCACAGCACTAGCTTCTAGGTGACCCCTCCAATAGTTCCCCTTTACTATTTTTAATGAATTCCTCTTTGATCTGGTGTCACTTTTAGATCTTGTGATCGCGTCTTTTTGTTTTATGTGTTTTCTCTACCAGCGCCTTCTATTCTACTGTGTGGCCATTTGTCTAGTGCTTCACAATTCTTTTTTGTGTGTCTGTGAAGGATTTTGTACACTCACTTTTAACCATTCGTTAACTATATATATATATGTATATGTGTGTGTGAAAATAAATAGAAAGTATAAATTTAGTGTAACTTAATTTGACAATGTAACACATTTTCTGTAAACCAACAAATCTTGTGTGTAATTAAGTGACTCTGAAGCTGTGAAGCTGTTAGTTAAAGCTGTATAAATACATTATCTATAGCATTACTTACCCAAGAGGTGAAATGCTGTCTGTTTTCAACTAAAAAGTAAAAAATTTCTGTGTAAAATCGATTGTGAAAATAGCTTTCCGGATGCATTGAAAATAATCAAGCAGAATCTCAAATTAAACGAAAGTTGTTGTTTTTTAATCAATAACCTTTTCTATCCACTGCTGATATGTCTCACATTTAAAGATAATAAGTGTTGTCTATAACTATAGTAACTGGCTATGGCTTTAATACAGTACAAAGGCAATGATTATTTGTTCTCCATTTTCTTTTTTATTTAGCTTCAACACCAAATAAGATATTTTTTCAAACTAAAACTTTTTTTCCAACTTGAACACAAAAATTTCATATTTACACAAACGTATAGTTTTGGAAAACTACCAACATCGATTCAAAGTATACATCCTCACAAACAAATATCATTCTCTAAAAATGGACAAATGTCTTCAGAAGAGTTCAAAGTTGTATTCCAAAGTGGCGTTTTTGAAAAACAATGGTACCCACAAATATTCATCAAGCAAATCAAACTACACCTTGATAAATGAGTGATTCTAAGTCAATAACAGTAACAATTCCCTAAAGACCTATTAGGTAGACACTGAAATTGAATGTGATGTCTGGAATAATATTATTTCCTGCAGTGAGAAGTGTAGGCAAACTGATATCAATCAAATCAATTTGTTGTTTTGGAATATAACCTCTTATATACCTAGATATAGTCCTGTACATAGTACAGTTTTTTCTTTTTTTTTAAAAACATCATAAAAAACATAAATAAATAACATTCTACAAAGACTGTGGGTATTTGTTCATCATGTCTATGATCGGTTGTAAGGTCACAATACCGAGTAACAGGATAAGCAGTGTACGGAATAGTACAACAAAGTCAACAATATCTTCACATTTGAGCGGTAATATACTTCTAACAGGCTGGTGTCTGACCTGTGGTCTTTGCAGTGAACAAAGAAAGCAATATTAAATCTGTACATGATAAAATAAAATAAAACAAAATATGATACATGGGTATCCTTAATGCAAGTGAACACGAAGGCACATTCTAGTGTCTTATCATGCACACACATACTCTTAAAAGATACAGTGATATCGGATTTTTATAAACATTACGGATACCCAATAGGATTTACAATAGTAAATCCTTAAAAAGAGATGAATCCATGGTGGGTGAGTGGACAGAGAGCCTTACAATAGCCAGTTTGTTTTGTCTTATCATCTGCTTACCGATTATTTGTCTTTAGCATAGGATTATAGTGCTTTCTCAATATTGCTTTAACAATAAATACAAGTTATTGCGGGGTCCTGTTGTCTGGAACACAGACATAGGATTGCTGAAAATGAGATTGTGTGGGACAGTACAAATATGGCAGCGTGTGATGATGTAATACGAGTATGATCACAATCTTAATTTTTCTCCTTTTTCTCCATTTATTACTATTGCAATCCATACTGAGTGGATTTATTAAACAGTTTCTTGTGTGTTATGTCCACTTAACAAACTACTATCAATTCGCATAAAAGATAGTTAATTGTATCTGACTGAAGTATTATAAAATTAAAAACCTTCTAAAAATTATGAGAGCACCCTGCTTTGGTGGTTCAGTAAAATAAGTAGCACCGGTAACTTAAAGACAGAGTGAAAGGCATATGAATGGTTGCATTTAGTACTGTAAAAATGGCAAAGTGGCATCAGACTTTAAGTACTAATCACTTTAACTAGTTTCATTTTACTCACCTCATCAAAGGCAGTCAGATGAAAGTCTCAGTTATCTGCCTGGAACTGTGGTGTGTGAGTTGTTATTTACAGTTTGTATTCATCATAATGGGGAGGTGTTTTACTAAAGTTCAGGAGTAGGCATTCTTCCATCGTTAGTTGGGAAATGGTCCCAAAAAATGGGTACATACAGTAAATGTCCAACGAATATATTAAGAAAAAAAGAATGCAAATTTGATGGGGGTTTTCAAGTTGTATCCCCTCAGTGCAGCTCAGAATTCAATTCAATTCCTAACAGTTATGATTTTAGCACTTATCAGTTAGGGTTTCAAGTAGAGCCGGTGATTGGTCAGGGGATCACATGACTTGATAACTGACTGCTTCATTTGAACCAGGCCTACTTCCTAAATACAGAAATGGCAAACGTCCCATTTCATTATTTCTGTGATTATCAAAGTTTTAATTGCCTAATACATAAACCCCTATTAGTGGTATGAGAAGTTATTAGGTACAAAGTCGTACCTAGTACCTTTAGTGTTCATCTACTCCAGGAAGACAGTAGCGTGGCATCTGGGATGCTGATGATTGCATTGTTATCGGAGCATGTTTTAGCCCTTTTTCACAGTCGTTCATTAAAAAAACTGTGTTTTATTGATGTTTGCTGGTGTCTATCTCACACAGGCTTTTGGTTGTGCTATCCTTCACCTCTCCTGAGGTTTCTTAAACACAAAACTAGGACCAATTCTTGCTTTATATTTCGCAGGACACCATTTTGGGTCATATTGGAAGTTATGAACAAAGAGCCTAAATTATTATTTGAGGGATTTCCTTTTGTATCTAATAGAAGAGAAAATACATAGTGGTCTAGAACCTTGTTTGTTAAGTCCCAAACTAGGAGTGTTTTCCAATTACCCTAAAATCTCAGAGCTCTGCTTTTCCACGATTCCATAAAGAATCGTTATTTCTTATAGTAGACAGAAGTGTACTAATTGTTTCCCATCTAAGGCAAGTTTTTCTATCTCATATTGATTCTCATCTGTATGTTTGTATGTCATGTTCTCTCTGTCACAAAGTATCAAGTGATATTTTGAGATAAGGTGATATTTTTCCTTAATATTTGCTACATCTATGGCTAAACTAAAATACTTTCTCAGACTGGACTTTTTTTCACAAAAACTGACATCACCTCCATAGACAGCAAGATTTCTACGGTGAAATACTTCTCTCCCTGAAAATATTTCTAAAAAATGAAAAAAAAGTAAATACAGTGACTTCAACTTCAGTAACACATACATATAATTTGTAGAAAATGTACAAACTCCATTATTAGACCGTAACAGGTTGAGTCCTACACTGTAAACCTCACTTACAGTATAATACAGCAGTGCGTTATCGACTCTTTGGAATGCTGTAATAATGAATCATAGTCCAAACAATTCATTCTAGTGTGATGCTTTATCACAAGACAGGAGGGAAGGGAAATTATTCAGATCGTTCCTCAACCTTTCAACTGAATAATTACATCATGACTGATCCACATAGATTGGAGCACTGTGCCACAAATTTACTGTGGAAGAGTTTAACAGCCAAAAAGGTATAAAAATTGCGGATTTTTTTTTAAGCCTGCCTCTCCTAAAAGGAAGCATTTTATCAAGAAAATATCAATAAATTAATTTCCCTAATACAAATCCAGTTTCACAAAAACACATAGTGTGTTTAAGGTTTATAAATTGAAAGTTGGTTCCTTTTTTCTTTTGGTTTAACTTTTTAGAGGGAAGCAAGTATTCATTAACATGTGAGTCTGTCCATGTTTTTTTTTTGTTTTTTTACATTCATAACCCACTTCAACTTCAACTGAAATAGAAGTATTAAGAAAATACAAAGTTGGCCAGAGAGCCTTTCACTCAGTACGAGCAGTATGACACTGCAAAGCATGAACACCCTTTGGGTGCGATACTGTAAGGCGAGGAATCAGACCTCAGATCAGCCTCTCCTCTGGAGGCACTTTGAGGACGCTGCCCATTTCCAGCCGAGCGCCAGCCACTTCCTGCGAGCTGGGGCTGTACGTGCCCTCCGACTGACGCTTCTTCCGCGCCGTCATAATGAGGAAAAACACCACCAGGATGGCCAGCAGTACGCACAGAGTGGTCAGGGGGATGGTCACCGCCAGCCAAGGGACGCCCTCTCTTTGCTCCTCTTTCTGAAAGAACATAAAGAGAGTTATGCATGCACATTTTCTCATTTATGAGTTGATGTTATATGCATTCAAAGTAAAAAGGAAAACACAAAGACTTCCATAACTGCTGATAGATCACCTATGAAACCATTATACTAGCTCTTTAGATCATTTACACAAAGATTTTCAATCAAATTGAATCATTTAAGTGCTTACAGCCACAGGACTTTATTTAATTATCGCATGCTTGTTGAAAAGTCTTCCTCTGTCAGCTTATCTGTAGTTTTGACAAAGGAATTGGTACCAACTACTTGTTATCTTAGGGACATAGCACTTATCAATCCAAAAGCAGTAGTGAACTGCACACACTCACATGTTTATTTTGCAGAACATTTTGTCAAAAGATAACATATGTTGCAAACATAGCATTGTACAGATTGATTGAGGGAATTAATCCAGGAACAGTCCAAGCTTTTAATACCCCCACAATCACACGGTGCTAATTTAACAGACTAAACTATTTTGTAAATGACAAGTTCAAATATGCAACAAGTTATTTTTGTCTAGTATATGTTTGAAAAAAGGTTGTATCCAGAATGCAACATATAGAGGAGAATAAACTGTGCAAATTATGATGTGATCTCAAAACGTGATCACAATTATTTAGCTGTCCTTTTTATTTAGCTGTACATTTGAGATATTGAAACTCTCTGCATTGTGTTGGTTTTTAACTCTTTATAAGTTACAATGTGACTCATCCAGCATAATGCATTGTGGTATAATACGGTATAACTTACACTTCTCTCACATAATTTCCCCATGAAGCCCGGAACACAGACACACTGGAAATGATTTAGCCGGTCTAGGCAGGTGGCACCATTGAGACAAGGACCCGACTCACACTCGTCTATTTCTGTCTCACACCTGAAACACATCAGAGGGTTTTATCACAATACTGACTGACAGAGTGGCACACACTCCTGGCCGGTACATCAGTTCAGACACAGTAGTGGACAAGTTGAGTGTGCTAACCCTCACCTGGGACCTAGATATCCTGGCTTGCAAGTGCAGTTGCCTCCAGAATCACCTCCAATACAGACACCTCCATTGAGACACTTGCTGTTTATGTCGCATGCCACTGGAGGGAAACGCCACCTTTTGAACACAACAATTATCATAATTAAACAAACTTTTGTTTAACATGATTTTTAATCAGTTTTTTGGTTTTTCTCTACTATTTTGTATTATGACAGTCAAACAATATACTGTTAACATTACATAATGTGCACACATGGTAAACTTTGAAAATGTACACAAGCACATGGTTGTGCAACAAATACAGTACAAAGATATTTTTTATGGTGTAACCAAGTTCTGCTTATAATTTTCACTATTTTTTAGATTCTGCTGTTACTATTGTTATTTAATTCACTGAATAAAGAAAGAAAAAAATAGTTTCTGCATGGAAAGCCAAGCGTGACAAAAAAGTATTTTGTGTAAAAGGCAAATTTCTGTTGAATAAAATGTGCAATTTTAGCAGAAAAATATTTATTGTAGTTTAAATTGATTGATTATTTTTCAACCCTCCTTCTTATGAAGATTTCTTTCCAAAACTAAATTTTGGAGAAAATACACTTGAGTTCTCATAGTATCACACACATAAAGATACATATTAACAGCAATCAAACATCACGAAGAGTGGTTTATGTTTCTTCTCTACTTTGTCTGGTAAAACTTGTCCTGTTCTGTATTCAGCCATATCTCCCATTCCCCTGTTTTGTTTTGTCCAGAGTTGTACTGTGCTGTTCTGATTTGTCCTATCTCTGCACTGTTTTGGAACTCTTTTTTAAATGGTTGGAATCCTTTCTGCTTTTAGATCCACAAAGCACTACCCGTGTTTCTAACTTTTAATGGAACTCATTTAAAGATTAAATTATTGATTTATACATTACTGCTTCGTATGATTACTGACCACAACAAACTATCAATAAATAAGACTACCTGTGGACAAATCCAAGTCCTTCAAATTTAACAAAACCCATTTCAATTACATTTTGTTTGTCTATTCTTAACAAATTCTTAATGTATGTATTTCTTTCAACCATCATGACTTTAGAGGCCAGTCAAAAGAGTATTGCTTTTCTGGCCTGTCTGTTTTTTAAAGCAAAGATTGAGGTTCTGCTCCAACTGTGCAACGCTGTGACGGTGATTAGGTCGAACACAAATCTTGATACTTACTGACAGCGCTTGCCAATGTATCCGGGAGGACACCTGCAGGTGTGAGTCTCCGTGCAGACTCCTCCATTGATGCAGCTGAACTCCAGGCAGTCGTCCACCTCCTCCCCGCAGTTCTTCCCTTTGTATCCCGGTTCGCAATCGCACTCGTAGTCCGCCAGGAGATCTTTGCACGCGCCGTGGACGCAGGGCCCCGACGAGCACTCGTTTATCTCCGCCTCGCACAGCTTCCCCTCCCATCCGGGTCTGCAGCTGCAGTTAAACTCATTAAACTGGTCCTGGCACTCTCCCTGGTTCAGGCAGGGCTGGGAATCGCAGACCGGGGCGCTTTGGCATCCCGTTTCTGGCTCCCGACCGCCGAGTCTGGAGAACCGGCTCCGTTGAGGGGCGTCTGGGACCCGTGTGAGGGGCAGGTAGACGCCCCCCACCCTCACCTCCCGCAAACACCCTCCGTAGTCTTCTGCCAGCCAGATCAAAGAGCCGTTCAGGAAGTTGAGGTTCCCACTGGCCCTGAAGCTGCCACCGGCCCTGCGGCCGTCTACGGTCAGATACCAGCGAGATACTGATTGTGTTGGGTCCACCATGCCGATCTGGACGTGGTGCCACGCCCCGTCCGCTACGGTCCGGTCGCTCGTGAAGGCCAGCAGCTCGCCCCCCGCCCCGCTGTCCAGTTTGACCAACAGGCTGGAGTTGAGCAGGCCCAGGCAAAGGACCTCGGCTCTGCTGGCCGCCCTCAGCAGGACGCTGTTCTCGTTCCGCGTCCGGAGCTCCAAGGAGATGGCGGTCACGGGGCTCCTCAGGGAGTTGTTGGCAGCATAAAGGAGAGAGTTGTCCTGAAAGGTGGCCTCGGTTAAACCTGAAGGATGAGAACAAGTAAGCAGAATTACCACTATTGAAAATTCACTGCATGTGTTAAAAGTATCTTTGTGTACAGTTCAGAATTCAGTTGATTTAATGTTGTCTGACAACCTAATAGCTTCCTTTATGCAACAAATATGTGAATAGTAAAAATGTAATACTTTCTGTAGGTTAATGAATTATTTGTGGGATCATTAAAGGTTACTCTTGTTTGAACTAGTTAAAAACGAGCAGTGCATTAGTGCATGATAGATGTTGTAATTTTGCAGTGTATGTTTAATCTACTTCAAGGAGTTCTTAGATTTTTCTACTGATCAATTATTAAACTGTCTTCATTCTTTTCGTGTAGACTCAAGAGAAAAAGTAGATTTTCTTAACTGCAGTGCATGTAACACATGCATTGTTGCAGCTTCTGAAATCCATTCAGAGCTTGAAAAATAAATTTTCTTTTTTTTTTGTTATAACTTTGTTATAACTTGACATCTCTGTAAAACATTGGTTTTCCCAAGAACAATTCTTAAAGCAGTTGAAGTCATAAATTGCTGCTCCAACAAAATTTACTGAGTATCGGAAAAAAACATATTTAAAAATATTAAAGTACCAGAAGCTAGAAAATGTTGTTCATTGCGTATTGTACATTTTTAAAATTCTTTCTACCAAAACTTTGGACAGGTAAAATAACATGTAATAGGTACATTTGTTAACATCCAATAGATGATAACAATTCTGGGTTACAAATTGCAAAATAGCTATGTAACAATAGATTGTTTTTCATATTTTTGGAATATTATTGTGTAACATGTCATTGTCATAGCTTTTAATGTTTATTTTGTGATCTCTGGACCTAATTCCAGCAGTAATAAGCAGCTGTGGTTGTACTAACATGTAAATGAGGGTTATTTTGATCTAAGATGGAAAATGTCCCTGAAAAAGTGAGCAGAAAAATATATCCAGTGGGAAAATTGTACAATCATACTACCATATCATAGCTTGTCTTGACATTGCTGTACATAAACACAGTAGCTTCCCATTTCCCCTTTAGTTCTGTTCAACAGTTCAATATTTTATCATGGATATCCATATTATTATAGTGTATTTGTAGCAGTAGCATATTTATAGTCTATGTTTCAATAATTCTAATATGTTTTATATTTTCTATTAATATAATGTCTCCTTTAGATATAGATTGACCCTCTTCATTGGTGTAATATGTGAAGAATTAAATCAACTTATACAAAAATCAAACAATTTTATATCTTGACAAATCCATCAATGTTTCTTAATCCATGTCTGAATAAATCTGATTGTGAATTTAAAAGATACATTTTTTTTTTAAATGTTCTGAGCTGATATAACGTGCCATGCTTTGATAAAATAATTTTTAATAATTACTGCTGGGGGAAAAACTCACATTCAAATCCATCGGTAAGGTCCACACAGCGTGCTCCACCAAAACAGGGTTTGTCGATGCACCACAGGCGGGTCTCGCACAGCCGGCCAGAGTAGTTAATGGAGCAGCTACAGTTGAAGTCATTCCAGGTGACCTGACACTGTCCACCGTTCAAACACGGCTCACCCTGTAGATGCAGAAACACGCATTATAATCACATTATGACTGATAAGATCTGTCACCTGATGACTCTACACAACACAAGCAGCAGAGAGGTTCCAACTGGACCCAAGAGTTGGACCAGACAATTGAGTCCTGGGGTCAAATCCATCCTGTCAATCTTCAAAGTTTCTAAAATTCTAATAAATTATGATTGCTCACATATGAATGTAGTCAATAACTGTAGTGCACAGCTGAGGCTGGTAACATGCATATTGAATTTAGTGACAAATATCTGAAAAATATAGTTGTATATAATATGATATGATAAAATAATCTATTATTCACTAATATGTTTTGTGAAAAAATACATAGCAGTAACTTTGCTAGCAATGTTTAGTAGATCATAGGTCATGTGATCAGGTCATAGGTTATAGGTCATAGACCAGATGGAGTATTAGGAACATACTTTAAAAAAAACTAAGGTTGGCAGACACTTATACAATACAAAATCATAGTTTCTCCAACCAAAAGTGTCAGACTCATTAAAAAGTTAAGAAGTATATTCATCTCATCTAAATCGTGTTATGTTATTTGATGGGATAAGCTCCAGACCCCCCACGACCCCGTTGGGATAAGCTGTATTAAAAATGGATGGCTGGATGTTATTTTAGTTAGTGTTAGTGTCTCAGTTTTACCTTGCATGTGCTGTCACTGTGGCACCCTTGCAGGACGTTGTCATTGGTCGACTGGTAGACCTCCACCTGTTCCACATCATCTCCAGGTACTAGATGCTTGTGGTCCAGCCGAATGTCCTGCAGGCAGCCTTTAAAGTGTCCACCCCAGGCATTCGTGTTTTTGCCCGCAGGGAGCCCACCAACAAACGCCTCGTCTCCTGCTTCAATACTCACATTCCCTAAGGCACGGTTATGCCCTGCTTTAGGAAAGACCACGTGGCCGTTTTGAACCTTGATGGTCACCAAATGGTTTTTCCCGTCAGTGACTAATTTGGCTTCTGACAACAGAGTGGTGTGAGAACTGTAGATGGCCACAGTGCTTTCCCTGAGATATAAGGTGAGGTATGGTTTTCTCTCTCTGTGGAACTGGAGAAGCATGCCGGTGGGTTTGAGGGAGCGCATCAAAAAGGAAATGGTGAAGTTTTCTCCGTGGCTTTCAGAGATGTTGAACGCAGAGTAGCTGGTGGTGTTCTCGTGGCCAAATGTCCATGATGAGTATTCTAAATTGTGGTGGAAAGAACAAAAAGATCAGATTATTTTTCCAACAGTGTGAAAAAGTGTTGTTACAAATTTCAGATTCTTCAGTATTAACCTTTTTATATATTTCAAATTAACTTTAGGGTGGAAACGTTCAATTCCATCAACTTTACATCTATCTTTGAAAAGTTGTCCTACTTTGACTGCTTCCATTTCAAATCATCAAGATTTAGCCAGTAGCCTATTGCTTATATCAAGCAAGCATTCTTTGTGTAGATTTAAAGTAAAATGCAATGTATTTGTGAAAGTGTTAATCTTAAACATTCTCATCTTTGCATTACAGTCCTCTATGTTTGTCTATTGGGTGTGAAGGGCAACCTGAGTTCCTTGATCACAGAAAATCTCCAGTAACAAACTAATTAAACCCTAGATCTATTTTTACTCTAAACCTATAACAGAGTAATTAAATACACCCCTACCCTTTTCACAGTGTTCTCCATGGTAGGGACGATAGCACTGGCAACTCGCACGGACCCACATGTCCTCACATTGTCCACGTTGCAAACACGGGTCAACCTGACACCAGTCTTTCTTCACGCACCCAGGTTCCAAGCCCTTATTTTCCTCCCTGGTGAGGTCCTGAGGAAGCAACAGCTTGTGCTCGACCGCAAAGTCCTCCATGCAACCGATAAATCCCTTTCCGCTGGACGAGTGAGCTAAGTGCTCCTGCGGCGCTCCGCCGATGTAAAGTTCTTGGAGGGAACCGAGATGGAGGGGTGTCAGATAGTTGTAGTCTCCGGTCTTCACCTGGCATCCTTTTTCGCAGCCGGGTCCCTCAACGCTCAGAAACAGCTTCTCGTCCATGCCGACGGTCACCCGGCGCCAGTTCCCGTCATTGACCCGGCCGGGGTATACCACCTGCTGCACCTTGCCTAACTTCACCTTGGCCATAAGGGAGCCCTCCACAAGCTCAAGGGAGACAAAGTGCTTTATGGTTCCTCGGAAGAAGAGCACCATGTCCGGCAGGGTGGTCCGGAAACGGAGCTGCACGTGGAACCCTCGACCTTTGCCGTAGGCCTCTCGTTTCGTCCGGTTCTCGGACAAGGGGAGCTGGACGTGGACGTAGCCCTCGGAGTTGAAGGAGAAGGTGGTGGGGGTGTCGCAGTGCTCCCCGGTCCAACCCGGCTGGCACAGACAGACGTATCCGTGCTCGCCGTCGCCGGTCAGGACGGGGAGGCAACCGGCTTCGTGCTGGCACCGGTGGAGCCGGCAACCGACCAAAGTGACGTCGCAGTTCTGACCGCCCCAGGGCTCCCGACCCGGCTTTGGCTTGGGGCAGTGACATTTGTAGGAGTTGGCGTGGTCTTCGCACGTGGCGCCGTTCTGGCAGGGATTGCTGTCACACTCGTTGATGTCCACTTCGCAGTGCACACCTTAACGGGAAACAAATTATGACATTTAATCTTGTATTCACAACCCTTTAAAGCCTGTTCCAAGAAAAATAGGAAGAATATTGGATTTTTTTTAGTCTGAAATCTTTCTTTGGCCCCTTAATAACATATGAAGAAAATAAAACAGAAATTATTTTGATCAAATTAGCGTGCAATAAGTCAGAAAATATATTTTGGTGTAGTCTTCTACTGGCTGTTATCAGGTATATCTGAATGTGTACAACAGGGGTTTGAGCAAAGCTTTTACCACTGAATGATGCAAAAAGTCTCAGATCCAAAAGACTTCAGAAACCGTATGTATCAAATATGACACATATGGCATTATAGGGTTAAAGTCCATAACAGGACCAAACAGGAATTTATTCTTACAACCGAGAAACAAAAATGGTTTATCAAGCCACAAATGAGAAAATACAGTGGGAGTCTGGAAAGTTGTATTCTATTATTTAAGTAGATTTAAATGGTACCTTTATAAAAGAAAATATAAGAAAAAGCCAATTAAGACTCATAAACACAACTAAATCAGTGCCTGTCATGAAAAGATGGATATCATTACATTGCCCCAGACGTTTTTTTTAGTTGAACTGGTAACATTTCTACATGTTGGGTACTAAACCGTGGTCCGAGCTGCCTTGTCAAACCCCATTCAACATTAATCCTCGGCAGCAGTCAGCTTCCATTAACATAGTCCTTGGACAAACTTGACGCCGAAGGTGATCTAAAGCTGCTCGTCCTGTCTGTGCCAAGGCTTCACCTTTGACGCCAAAGCGAACGGCTTTCTGGTCTAAAAAGTTGCCGTAGCGTACTGTACCTGTTAGACACAGGGGCCCACAGCAGCAGCACAGCAGCATCAACCACCTTCCTCTCATGATCCACAGAAAAAAAAAACTGCCAACACACTCCTCACACTGCTGATGACAGAAAAGAGCTAGTCCAGTCTCTCCCTCTCTCTCTCTCTCTCTCTCTTAACTGTCTCTCTCTTGGGTTCACAGTGCAGGACTCCCTCCACTCCCTCGACTCTGTACCAGGCACACAGGCAGAAGTGATTACATGCTCGCCCTGCCCACTTTTTTCTTTTTCTCTTCCCCTCCCTGAGACGGTTCAACCCTCCCTCGCAATCTCCGCTCCTCGCCCGTCTGAGGAGCCGTAAGCCTCCATCTGGCTCCTGTCAGTCGACAACAGGAATGCGGCCTCTACCCCCCCGACACGGCTCCGTGTATTGGTTCGAGGTTGCCAATATGCAACCGGAACCAAATAGCCAGCAGGAGGTGCTATAGGGTCAGCGTTGATTTGGGCCAGGTCGAAGAAGGACTGGATTGAGGGTGTGAAGCCACTAATGATCTGCATCAGGATCTATATGATTTTTATACACTGTTGCTTAGGGGTTTGAGTTTTCAGATTATTCCAAAAAACATTCTAAGAGCTTGAGTAAAAGGTTTTGGTCGCCATTTTAAATGCTGGGATGGTGATTCCTAAGACTGTCCTTTGCCTAAAATTGTTTTCTCTGGTTAACATAGATAGGTTTCTTTACTCTTGTCTCAATCCATATGTTACATCTGTCCAGAACGTGTAAAGTACTGTTCTTAAACATGTGTCCCTTATCTTTAAGATGGAGGTAAATTGCGGATTTATCCTGTGTTGGTTCTTAGAAACTGCCAGATATGGGATCACGACACGTTTTCTCCTGTTCTAGATATCCAAACTGAACTGAGAAACGCCCAGTTGGAATAGCCCCATGTTTTGAAATGCTTTCTTTTAGTGTATCTGTTCTTTCTGCTATCATTTACTCTCTCAACACGGTGATAAGGGTTGTGGTACATGATGTGTCAAAAAGTAAGTACTTAATGCTCAATATGAGTGTACTGACATATTGAGCATAAAGAATTGTAATTTGAAGATGGACGCAGATAAATACAGTTTCATACAGCCAACAGATTATATATTAAGATATATATATAATACATATATATAATATATACATATATTAAAATGACATATTCAGATGTTCCTAATAGACATTGAAATTTAGACATAAAAAAATCATTAATAAATAAATAAAAATATATAATATATATAGATTTTTATATACATTTTTTGTACATTTTTATATATCATATATATATACATCTTTTTTATTTTGTTTTATTAACAAAAAATAACTAATAATACTTATTTTCTAATAACTATTCATCCAAAATCATGGTCATCTCATAATCTCGGTTTAACCACATCTACCAGCACTGACAGAATTTTTTAAATGAGTGTATTAACCTCTGATGACTTTTAAGGGCCACTTACACACCATGTCGCACGCACAATCCCGCAAAGTTAACACAATCATATTTCAAAATGTATGCATTTGTGTAATTTACCAAGGAGTTTTTAAAAAGCTCTAATTTCGCCCATCCTGTTTCGTCTTGTCCTGTTTTCATCAGACACAAACTAGGCCGCTAAGCAGCTTTGCTTTAATCTTTCTTACCTGTAACAAATTTTGTGCGAGACCCCTGTTTACTGCCCCAGATGGATGCCTGACATATGGCACCTTTAATTGGCTTTGTTGTTTTCTGCTATGCTCCTTCAAGCCATATGCCCACTCATCCCCTCCTGTCCTCCGATTTCATTGTTGCTCCAACATCTAACACTAATGATACTATTGGGAAATTAATTAGCCTTGCTTCTGTTCAGAAGAGCTTTTAACTAAATGTTCACGGTAAATCCTCCTTTTTTTTGGTTTTAAGGTCAATGTTTGGTACGGTTCCTCCCGAGTGATGCGCTGATAAATCTCCTCTAATGAGGAATTAATACCATGGCTAGCCATGAAGAATAATCAGCACGAAGAGGATTAACCCTTTATTGAGTGGCCGAAAAAGATTCTGAGGCTTGGCGTGAAGGTTTTTCTGCTCCCAAGAGCATCTACTGAAGATGCTTTGCTTGCTCAGCTTAGGGAAGATCAGTTTAGACTTTAGAACCCGTCCAAGGCAGAATGGGTGCTTATAAAGAGCTGGAAGTTTTAAAATGTTTTTACTGGGGTAGGGCTATCATGTTTGTTTCCATACAGTCCATACTTCTCTATGATTATGGCTTATGGAATTAATTTAAATGGGTTATTTTTCTCCTAACTCACAGAAAGAGATTTCCCAGTACAAGAGGAAAGATCTTTAACATAACTGTTTATAAAAATGAACTTCTATTTAGATCGTTTAGAAATATGCAAAAATCCATAAAACCTTGCTGTAAAACAATTAATGGTGTTATTTTTTAAGATATTCATTCAAGTTCATTTATCCCCGGTGAAGTGATCCCTCTGCCCTCTTATGTCAGTGGAAGTGCATACAAACCAGTCTTGTTTTTGGTGTCTCATAATCAAAAGTGAGTCTGAAAAAGATATTTTAGTGACGAGCAAATGAGGGTCCACCTACCCGTGAAGCCACTTGGACACACGCACTGATAAGAGTTGATCAGATCCTGGCATTTTCCTTCATGTTGACAAGGAGCAGACTCACATTCATCCACGTCAACTGAACAGTTTTCACCTGAAAGAGGGGCATAATGGGATTGATCATTTGTAAGGATTTTTCAGATTACACCGCGTTTGTTTTGCATCAAAAAGCTTACCACTGAATCCTGGAGGGCACTGGCAAATGAAGCCGGCGGCAGCTTCATAGCTGAAATTGACCGTGCTGAGTTCAGGAAGCAGCCGGTAGTTCAGGACATCTGAGCGTTGAAAACACTTGCCATTGTTCTCACAGGGATGTTCCTCACACTCATTTATGTCCACTTGGCAGTTGTCTCCCTCATAACCTGGAGAGAAAATGCAGACACACATGAGCACAAACATCAAAAACATCCATCTATACCGCTTAGTCCCATGATAAAGTACAAATAGATATGATTTAAAAAGTTATTGTTTGGCAAAACTAAGTATTTTCGACCATCTATTTCACTTATTCATAAAAAAACAGTCTGTTCTATCAACCTGTGAGTATCTGAATGTGTCCCTTCACTGCAACTGAAGAGGAATTTCACAGAAACGACAGTTTTAAAAGTGAAAGAGAAAATGAGAAACTAAGAAATTTGTTGGATTTTGGAAAAAAAACATGCAGTCACATAGTGCAGTTTATTGTTTTTTATTTTCAATTATCTAGCAATCTGAGGTTAAATTGCCTCTTTTGTGCTTGACTATCATTGAATTTTTTCAGTTTGAACCACATAACTGTTTGACGGGTTTGTATTCAAATGAATGGAGTTTGATAAACATTTGAATATTTTTGTGCTGAGCTAAACATACCGTCCCAGCAGATGCATTTGTACTGGTTGATTCCCTCCAAGCATGTGGCTTCATGCTGGCAAGGGCTTGATGCACATTCAAGAATCTCCTCTTCACACTGGTCACCCATAAAGCCTGTCCCTTCACAGTCACACTCATAACTAGAAGAAGAGCAAACAAGCAGAGTTTGATTAAAACATCCTTAGAAATTACCTTTGTGAATGTTACTGAACTGCTTTCAAACCCTAGTGGCCGATCAAAATAGTAAAAAACACCCTTAAAATGTTTCTCCCATCAGAATCAAAATAAGCATTTCCGCTCATTAATGTCTTTAATGTCAGTTTAAAAATTAATTATTCGGTTAGTGACATTTACTAAATAGCTGCTGTGGTAACACAATCACAAAAACGTGAGGACCAAAAAACAAGTGCGTGTGGTACATTGTAAGTTAAGCAGTTTGCTTTTTTTCTTCTTTTTTTGAGAATTTTGGCCATTTTATTAAGACCTGTGGGTGCAACATTATCAGATTTGCAAGACATTTTATGAAATAGAAAACCAGGGAAAATAACTTACTCAGTTTTCTTCTTTTTTTTTAGATTGTACAGTCTCAGTAAAAACTAACACAGACGCGAGCTGATAACATTGATAACAGTGAAGGTGTACTGTTACACAAATCTTTAGAACCTTACTCCCATCTATTCCAATTGGTTTTACTACTGCACCAGGTATTCAGAGCACCTCTAGCCACCTATGACTCATCGCTGTATGGATTAATTTTTATCCCTAGCCAACTTTATGTCACGGGGGAGTGCATGGAGGAGGAACCAAAGTACAGACACAGAACACAAGGGAATATTTAAGAAATATATTATAAAAGGAACTAGGTCTTTGAGAAGCCAGAAGACCAGAAATTAAACGTGTTAAACCAAAAAATGGTAAAGATAAACAGAGAAAACCATCAATGTGAAAAGCAAGCCTATCAGAAAACAGAAGAAAAAAAACAGGACACTAAAAAGAGGAAGAGCTAATTGACAGGTGATTGATAATGGAATCTGACAAAGGGTCAGGAAAACCAGAAAGCCTCAAGACAGATGAGGGAGGATTAGAGAGTGGAGATAGCTGAAGATAATGAGCACATATGATAGGAATGGAGAAGATGGCTATAGGAGACGATGGATAAAGACAAGAAACCGTAAACAGGAAACAATTTAAGAAAATGGAAAATAGTGGATTGATCAACTTAGACTATAGAAACTTACAAAAGAGAAACTACGAAAGACCCAAAAGAAATCTAAATAAACACAAGAATCCCCAAATTCCAATAAAATAGTTCAAACTGAAGAAAAAAATAACATTAATGAAGATAAAACAAACAACAGATTCAAACAAATACAATGCACAGCTTAATGAAAGACTGGCCTTATCTATATGTTGTACTAATAAGGAAACAAAATACAACATTATTGAAGTTCACTTCAATTCTGTACAATCTATGAAATAATTTTATAAAAGCAGCTCTCCTAAGTGTACCTTTCTGATATTACTTGTAATGGCTTTCAATTTTTGTAGAAGGTTTTTACCCTCAACAGCCTTGTTTCTTTGTTAGTGAACATTACTTAAGTCAGTTTAAAATTATAGTCATGTTGTATTTTGACTTTAATTCTTCAGGTGCTACATGCTCTTCTTTTATTGTCAGTCATTGCGAACTAACTTAAGTTTTATATTTACGTAAATGACACAGAGAAATACATGGATGACAATGTATCTAAAATGTAGGGTTAAACAAGTAGACACTACAGACGGAAATGATTTGTCAAGAAATGACTGCCAGGAAGTGGAAGAGTGTGTTTGTGTCTAGGTGTGTGCGTGTGTGTGTATCATACCTGTTAATCCCGTCGATGCATTTGCCCTCATTTAGACAAGGCACGCTGATGCACTCATTGATGTCAATCTCGCAGTGTTGACCCTGGAAACCGGCCATGCACTCACACGAGTACATGGCAACGTGGTCCAGACAGGTCGCGCCGTTCTGACAGGGTTGAGACGCACACTCATCAATCTCCACCTCGCAGTTAATCCCTGCAGGGTGCCAGAGCGAGAATGGCGGTGGGCCAAAGCGTGAGATTGGCAACACGCGTAATTACCATAGCACAGGTACAGCACCAAAATAACACATTAACACAGGAGCTGCTCGATAAACATGACACTATAGTATAATTAATTAGTATTTAAATGGGATACAGTGTAAAATGTGAAATATAGCAGCAAATTTTACGTTAAATATACTTATACTTCCAGAAATTAGAGGCTAAATTGGAAATAATTACCATCATCATTTAGATAGATAAATAGATAGATAGATAGATAGATAGATAGATAGATAGATAGATAGATA